CCATTATTGTTTATTATTTTCCTTGAAGTTACTAACGCGTTTATTGTTTTATGATTACAAGAAAACGCAATCAAAGTAAGGAATCATGTTCCTTTTGTTCCTATTATTTTTCTAACGATTTTTGTTATGTTTTTCATATATTAATCATTATTATGATTGTTAAATTGCTTCCAATGTTGATGTTTATTTTATTATTGTATTGATCACCCTATTGCATGTTAAAGGGAATATGTCATTGAATATATCGCCTAATAAGATAATTTGGACAACCGGTTTAGGTTCTTTTTTAATCTTCACTAATTGAAGTGATCACTAATAATTAGAATTATCTGTTGCATTAACATTCAACCAATTTAGCTTAATAATAGTTTGGAGCAAATTGAATCTTTGTTTGCATGCCATTGAGATTTCAAGAATACTTTTCACAATAAGAATCGAGTAGTGGCCAATACGGGCAAACGTGACTCCATGACTCAATTCATACCATCATCCCCGATCCTCCTTTCGTGGTTTCGAACCTTATGGAGTTAGTAAATCTCATGGATTATGAATGGGGTGTAGCCTTCGCGGGTCAATCGTTGTTGCCTTTCGTTGTCTCTTAATCGTGGTTGCCTTTTGTGATCCATGAACGGTTTACAAGTTCCTTAAAAACTTATTGGCGGCTCCCTACATTATTTGTCCCTAATCGTTGTCCCTAATCGTATGTCAATTCCCAATTCCTATGAGTGTCAAGCATATTCACAACATGCTTAATGTAGGCGCATGTTAATTTTGAGCTCAATTTGGATCTTTCCTTCAATCACAAAGAGGAATTTACAATGAACAAAAATCATACTCTGGAACCTAAAATATAAAATTGAGTTATGGGCACTTGGATTTAAATGAAGCCAAACCTGCGAATTACAACATTTATCATCTCTTTTAATTCCGTACTTTTCGTAATTGATATTATTTTTTAGCAGCGTTCATGGCAATGTTCGAGCTCCCAATTTTACTACTTGAACAACTTTTGAAATCATTAAACTAGTGTAACTCTATTGTCAAGATTTTTATGAAAAATCAGAAAAATGAGGTAAGAGGAAGCAAGGAGCAAGAGAGAGAAAATCATGCTGAAGGGGAGGCGAAAGAAGCAATCGAAAAAAATACCCAGGCTCCTGTACACTTTATATCTCGGCAACAAATTTATTACATAGGAGTATCTTTTAATCCTGACTGTTAATATCTAGATCTAACGGTTAAGACTACTTCTCACGCTTCTAACAATAAGACTGCTTCTCACGTATGATATTTTATATGATTACATCACATGTTGGGGTAAGTCGAAGGCCTTATGTAACTTTCGAAGATAAGTCGAAGAAAGCAAGAGCTTATCTTAAAAATTGAAATCATGCGGATCATGTACCCGAGGTTCGAACTAATGTTTAAAAAAGCATAAATTCTTTTGAGTCATAACTTTGAAAATTTTGGAAATGTTTGGTCAAGTGTTCGGTGCTCCCATCTTTGATCAACTATTTCTTTTCTTTACAAAAGTCTTTTTTATATTTTCTCGTCAACTCTAGATCTCACTCGAAACTTCACCATTGAAATTGAAATTTACAAATTAATTGTCTTTAGCGAACGTGAAACGCCGCAATATCATGTGTGATGGACATTACTGTACCCCCATATGTAATTCTACATGACTCGGTTTTTTACTCATACATATAAATTACGTTAGTGAGTTACTCGTATTGTTGTTAAAGTTGATGTTTTAATTGCTACTTTTTATGTTGTTACTCAAACACAAGCAAGGCTACTTTTTATATCGGTTTTTTTTATAACGCAAAAGGAAAATATATTATAGTACATCAAAGTAGAATAAACCACCTGCACAAAAAAAATGGTAGGTGAGAGCACTACTGTGCTTCCCAAAGCTACCTTGAGGTTTAGTTATATTACACATTAAAGCAGTAAAGGCAGAAATATAAACTAGCCGATAGTTCACATTCAAATAGCAACTTGAAATAAAATTGTATTATACTTCTTCTTTTAATCTTGTTTATGAGTTATAATCAATAACTGTAGCTACCAAAAAAAAAATCAAGGATAAGTTGAAATGAGATTCATGCACTGATGCATTATACATGCAACTATTTTGCTTTATAAAGGAGAAAAATAAAGGATCAGGAATTTCTTTAATATAATTGGACCCCAAAGTGAGGTTGTAGTTGTTAAAAATGAATATGATATAAAAAGTTGCCATAAAAGATATAAAGTAAAAGTGGGTAGAAATTAAAAAAAAAACGGATGAATATACAGGGGCGGACCTTTGTTTCGGCGGGTCAGGGCCTGGCCCCCCTTAATTTTTCTAATAATTACATTTAAAAAGTTATGACATAGTGATTAAATATTGTTGTTTTTGAGCCAAAAGTTAGAGGACTAAACCTTGCTTCCCAAACTTTTTGGCTCAAGATCCGCCATTGTGAATACAGAAAGTTAGTATAATTTAGAATAACGAAAGGAAAGATAAGTTATGCTCGTTATGCGAATTAGCTAACAGTGTGTTTGGATATTGAAAAGGGAAGGAAAAGTAAGGGAAGGGAGGGGAGGGAAGAGGGGGGGGGGGGGGAAGAAATATAAGTTTTCCTTCTAAATCTCTCCATTGATGGAGAAATGAATTTCTTACAATTTAATCCATTTATTTATCTTCCCTCCAATATCCTCCCTTTCTCATTTGTTATCCAAATAAAAGATAATTCATCTCTTCATTTCCTTCCCTTCCTTTCCTTTCCCTTCATTTCCTTCAATCCAAACACACCGTACGAGAGTTGATAAATCATTCATTACTCAAAATGCATTATTTATATTTTTCATTAGTGCAAAGTAAGTATTTTATACTGCATATATTTTTATTTCTGGTTTATCTTCAGTTGTGTGTTTTGACTTATACATTTGTCAATGCATAACTATGACCCTTCATATCTTTAATACGGAGTAATATACAAGATTGTAATATTGTAAAAATATACTACCTCTGTTTTTATATAGTTGACACCTTTCTTTGTAACACGCTTGCCAGCGTACTACTTTAACGATTAATATCTCTAATTCTCAACATTGTAAAATTTACAAAAGAAAAAGAAAAAAAAATTGGATATTAATAAAATATACATTGAGACGATTCAAGCAATATCCCACTTGACTATGTTTCATCGATTAATATCATCGATCTTTCATCATCATTGTTTAAATAAATATTAGGTAATACACAAATAAACAGAATTTGAATCTGATGATGAACAATGAACTTAGCTAATACTTCCCCCGTTTTTTCTAGTTGACACATTTCTTTACTCATGTATGCTAATGCATAACTTCAAACATTAATATATTTAATTAACGATAAGCAAAGATTATTATATAGAAAATGATATTTTGAAAATATATATCGTAACGAATTTAACAAGATCCGTCATGACTATATTTTTCAATACGTATAAACTTTAAAATATGGTAAAAGTAAAGTGTGTTAGTAGTGCTAAAGTCAAAATGGGTCAACTAGAAAAACTAAAGTAGTAAATCATTAAAATTAAGAGCATGTTTGGTTAGTGTATTTTTTGGATTGGAAACGGATTCGATTAAACCGATACCGTTAGCGAGTGTTTGGTTAGAAGGCTTGGTAACAATTACCATTACCTAAGGGTAATAGTTACCTCTCAATCTCTCATTTGTTACCTCTCAAATTAGGATAACAAATATCCTTACTCTCCTCAAACACAAACAAAAGGAATAAAGTTTAACCGATTTCTTTCCATGGTCAAACCAAACAAATGAAAAGGTAATAGTTAAATGATTTCTTTCCCCCCTCTTATTTGTTTCCTTTCTATTCTGTTTTCATTATCCAAACCAAACGCCCCCTAAGTATATTATTGCATAGACAATGCAACTCTTACTTAGTTACGTTGATACTTGATTAAAATAGTTCGGTGAAGTAGGCATAAAAGATAACAACATTGACACAATCTAATCTCAATTTATTGTTATTATTATTATTATTATTATTATCATTATTATTATTATTACTTTCTCCATTTTTTTTACTTGACCCATTTTAACTTTTACACTATTCACTATCCTTCCTTTAACCGTTTTTTGTGAATTATTTGTAAAAAAAAATATATTCATGTGAGATCTTGTTAGAATCGTTTCAATAAGTGATATCATAATATATAACTTTTATAATTTTTACTTTTGGAGAATAAAAGTTATTAATGGTTAAAGTTTTGTATTGACAAACATGATACATGTAATAGGTGAAGTAAAAAAGAATAAAGGAAGTATTTTTTTTTAATCACAAACCCTCATAGGAATCTTCATTCCAACATGCCAACACTTGAATCGATCAACTTATTGAAGTGTAGTACTTAAAAGCTTTTCTCGTCTTATTTTCTCACTTTATTTAAAAAAAACGAATGAATTGAGTCAGTAGATTTGTTCTTTAGCTTGTCGTCGAATAGGATTCACATGAACTATATTAAAAGAAAAAAATAGTACCAAAAACAAAAAAAGAATTATTAAATGACAAAACGATCCGATCACTTAATTTACATTTTTTTTTTTTTTACTATCAAGGTCGATCAGGTTAATTTTGTATGAACGTTATGACTTGATTCTCATTTACTTTATCCGCTCTAGTGACATTGTAACAACTGAACTTCTGCATTATCCATCATACTTGTTTGACCACAAATTATGATTTATATGAAATAATTTAGTCACGTAAAGTCTAGCTAGATTCGTCTCATAAAATACTTTCACAATATCAACTTTTTATAATTTTTACTATTATAAAATTATAGATTTTTAACATATAAAATGTATTTTAAAATACGTAATTTCATCCTTATTGCAATGGAACAGAAAAAGTACCAAACAAAGCAATATAAATATACAAGCTAATCCTAGTCACCATAGTATTAGTGAGACCACGAATTAGGAAACAATCAAAATATATTCACAAATAACCATAAAACTATTCACTTATTAAATTGTGATTATTGTCTTATTCACATTAGGAGTGGCCAATATATAAAGAAATTACTTTTTCTCTGAACATAACCTGAAAATGACCATATATAAACCACACCTACACAATAACCCATGTAATGTGGCCAATATACAGTACAGAGTAGTATTAAAAATAAAAATTAAAAAAAAAAAGGCCTAAATAACGCAGTAACTAGTAAAAAAACACTAAAAAAAATCACTACACCAAAGTTAAAATACCCTAAACTAACCCTAATAATAGTACAACAACAACAATAAGACAGTAAAAATAACACCCTAATAGTAAAAATAGTGTTCAAGCAGCTGTTGGAGTAGGATTATTCCGGTAACGTAAGAGTGATTCTAACCGCTGTAACTTTAGCTGTTGTTTGAACTTATGAATAAAATCATCCGCTTTTGAATCCACTTCTTCTTCAAGCCGCTTCGACGACGTCGTTTCCTTCTCCACCTCCTTTTTTACCGCAGTAACTTCTTTTTTAACCGCAGTAATTTCTTTTTTAACCTCAGAATTAACTTCTTTTTTCGCCTTCTTTTTCTTAACCTTTACCTCTTTGTCCTTGTCCTTTTCTACCACCTCTTTTTGATTCTCTCTCATCACGTGATCCTGACTCTGGTCACGTGACTCCTCCTCCACCGCCTTCTGCGGGGCAGGAGAGCGGGAAAAGTTGAATGACGTCACACGGTAGAGCAGCGATGGCGCACGTGTCATCGTCACCGTCTGATCCGCCGCATCCGATGACGGAGGTTGCGCTTCAGAATAAAAATTGGAGAAATTAAAAGAAGCAACACGGGAAAATAGCGACGGCGCACGGACAAGCTGCGGCGGTGGCGGAACAAGCGACGCGCCCTCGTACTCGTATCGCTGGTTATTCTGGTAATAATCGTACTGATTATGATGATAATGATGGTCACTAGTATTACCAGACTTATTATTGTTGTTGTGGTAGTCGCCGTCGGTGTCGTCGTCTTTGGTTTTGGAGGGGTGCTTGTTATTGGCTAAGAAGATGGTGGCGAGGACGATGTTGAGGAGGACGAAGAGTGAGGTTGGGGTTAGCCATGGTGCGATGAGTGCAGCTACTTCAGTTTCCACCATTTTTGTGTGTTTTTAGAGAGAGAAAGAGGGGGTGCTTGAGGAGAGAGAAAGTGAAAATGAGTTGGGAGTTACTGTAAGTCTGTAAATTGAAGGGGTGTGTGGCATCTAATATACTCCGCGTGTAGGGTAGAGTAGAGAGTGGAGTGTATATTTGTGGACCATATGAAAAGATGTAATAATGTAGATGTATTTATTTTTTATTTTTAGATTATGTCATGTGGGATTTATTTTAACCTAAAGCTGTTTTTTTACTGATTTAAATTGATTCTTTTCTAAATTGAAATTTCAAAGTAACTTCCCTTTAAACAAAAATTCAAGTTTTAAAGTATAATTTTATTTTATTTCTTTCTAAATTGCACTCGGTATTTCATTTGAGGGACGATTATTATCAATAAACATGTAAGGAAAAAGTTATGCATGGGGGATTCTTGTTATTTGTTAAAGCAATTTTAACGCTAAGTATTCAATAAAAGTTGGCTCAAATGGTAAGCAGTTTGATGTCGTTTAAGAGAGGTCTCGAATTCGAGTCTCACCGAATGTAGAAAACTCTTGTTAGAACACTCACCCACCATTAGTCAGGTGTACAACTTGGGCCAAATCTAGATGTAGTTGGAGCTAAACTCCAGTGAATCGGGTGGGGCAAACTAAAAAAAAAACACTTTAACGCTAAGTAGTGAATCGGGTGGGGCAAACTAAGAAAAAAACACTTTAACGCTAAGTGTTGGTACACATTCGTGTGGTATGAACCTCATACATATCAGGTATGTATGAGCGGTATTTTGAGTACCATTAGAATCATATATAGTACCATTAACCATCGAAGTTTTAATTATGGTACCATTAGATACTCCCTCCATATTTTATTACTTGTTTTATTTCTTCATACGCGGAGTTTTAGGAAAAATAGTAGAAAGTAATAAAACATGAAGGAACTTCAGTTGGTGGAAAATTAAATAAAGTGTATGATAGTTGGGAGAAGAGAAAATCTAGATATATTAAAGTATGATAGTCGGGGGTCCACTAGGAGAGAAGAAATTAGTAAAATATTGTAAAAGGTTTCTAAAAAAAAATGGATCGAAACAAGTAATAAAATACGACCTTAAAAGGAAAATTAGAGCAAGTAATAAAATACAGATGGAGTATCAAATAAAAACCATTAAAATTTACATTTTTCTATAGTACGAATAGAGTTTTTTTTAATACTCCATCCGTCCCTTTATTAAGAACCTGTATTCCTTTTTGGGGATCCAAAATTAAGAACCTATTTTTATTTTAAGGTTGTATTATTTGAGAATATTCTCTACTTTTTGATGAATTGTCATCTGTTTTTTGTACTAATGATGATTTTTTACATCAATTTTCAACAATTTTCTCTCTCTCTTTCTCTTTTCAATTATTCACAACCACTTTTTTTTTTCTTTCTTTCTATCTCTCTCTAACCCCACATGCACTTATGTACTTCCACCAACTTTCTTAATTTTCATGAAAAAACCCAAATAGGTTCTTAATTAAGGGACAAAGGGAGTATGCTAAATTTCAATGATACTAATGTGGTGTTTAATAGTACCATTAAGACCTCAATAGTACTATATATGGTTCTAATGATACACAAAATATACCATTGAAAATTAAATTTTTCAAAAAAAAACAAAAAATATACCAGAATACCCCCGATGTATGATGCTTATATAACACGGATATGTACCTAGAATCCCCTATAAAAAATACAAAGCGTTTTATGTGTGGCTAGCTAAATCGTGTGGACGACTGACATACACCAAAACACTGACTGTGTAACCCCTGACCACCCAAGTAACCTTTGACCGACCAAGCTAAGTAACCCCTAATCGAGTAACCCCTAACCGACCGAGTTAAACCCTAACCAAATAATCTCGGTCATACGGTGTGATCACTCACATATGAAACTTTAATTTGTGTAAAAATTAACAAGAGTACTAGAGGAATTATATGCCTATAATAATTTGAGTCATGAATGACTAATAACTCTAATAAAACCGTTTGTGTTTCGGGGTTTTCTGATGTCCTGCGGGAGAGTTACAATTCCGAGACTGGAACCGGACGCCTGTACCTGCAAAACAAACGGATGCTCCGGATGATTGGAGATCCGCCTCCGACGGTCAAGTTAGTACTTGATTAAGGAGTAATTAATGCAGAAATTAAAGTGATTGGGTCTCTCTAGGTGAGAGAGTTTAATGTGTGTAATCTGCGTTGTTCGCGTCCCCCCCTTAATGAGGATTAAGGGAGGTATTTATAACCTCGAGAAACGTGCCAATCTAGGTTTAGGTTAACCTTGGGATGATTGGGCTTCCCTCGAAAGTTGGGCCTAGGTGACCGGTTATCCCAGGTGTCATGGGAAGGACACGTGTCGTGTCGTAATTGGTCCATGGTGGACGGATCATTGCTTGACACGTGGCAAGCTCCTATTGGCCCATGTGACGGACACTATTTTTTAAGTATGGTTAATTAGATAAGGGTAGGTTATTAAATTATTTATCGATTAAGAAAGATACGCACAAAGTTAGAAGAAATAGTTTATTTTTTAAGTACACCACATAAGTTCAAAAGTAGAAGAGAAAAGGAGGCAAAAACTATAGGAGCCAAAAGAAAGAGTAAATGGGCAAATAATAATGCATGTATGTGTAATCTAAATTGCATATCAAATTGATTACTTAAATTTAATCCAAATGATGAAATGCATCAATGATCAAATTTCTAAGCTGATAAATCCAATCAAATTGTATATGTTTGGAAAAACATAGGAATATTTAAAAACAAATATTAGTTTGGATCAAATCCACACGAACAAATTGTATGTTTTTTTTTTGGTGAAATAGAGAGGCACAGCCCCAAAACAAGAGAAAAGACAATAAACACGAAAAATGAAAACAGGAAGAAAAAAACAAGAAAACAAACCAAAAACTAAAAAACGAAACAAACTAAAAAAACTAAGCAAACCACCAAGCTCATAACAATCCTACGGGATTGGAACAAGCCTAGCGCTCGCCACCCCACTCAAGTCCAATAAAACGGCCTGAATATCCTTTGGGACCGCCTCAAAAATCACTATCTTTTGATCAGATTTCACTCCGAAATTCGCCAACCAATCAGCTGCTCGATTAGCTTCCCGACAACAATGATCTACTACAACCTCCCATCCCTGCCTCGAAATAAGAGCTTTACATCGTCGGATGATATGCATATATGGGGAGTTAGATGGACACTCATATAACAAAAGACGTATCACTACCTCTGATTCCACCAAAAGCTGCACTTTACGATGGATGCCATTCCAAGCCACTACTAGTCCCCTTAGAACACCAAGAAGCTCTGCCTTCGTATTGGAGCACGAACCACAATTAATAGCAAAAACCTCGAACTGGCCCTCATCAACTGAACTGACATCCAACCGCCTGATGTAATCCTTGGTGCCCCGGATGGTTGGGTCCCCTCCAGCAAAGCCGCCTGCTATGGTATAGATCGGCTCTTCATCAGTGTCCGAACTATTAGCAGATTGGGGTGCGTTTTTGGACGGCTGGCCATTGTTAGTCCTTAGGGTCACCTTGGACTTCAAAATGTAGGACTTCAGCACTCCTTTGTCGGCTAGACGGTCCAATAACCGTTTGAGGCTGTAACAGTCATTGGTGTCATGGCCTATGTCCTCATGGAAATGATAGTATTTGTTTTTGTTCCGATTTCTAGCGGAACCCTTCATTGCAACCGGTTTGTCAATAGTCACCCGGTCTTTGATCTCCATGAGGATGGAGTAGCAGTCTTTGTTAAACTCGTACTTGGGGACGTACGGTTTAAACTCCTTTTCTTTCTTCTTTCTCTAGGATGGTTGTTCAGAATCATCTGCCACCCAGACTTCTTTTCTTTTCTTGCTCTCTTCTTTTTTAGCCGGCGGAGCAGGCCGACTATCTTTTTTGTCGGACTTCTTAGGGTCCGGCTGTTTGCTGATGGCACAGAGTTTAGTCGCCTGTATATAGGCTTTCGCCTTCATCAACGCCTCTTGGAGGGTAGCAACCCTCTTTCTGACAAGGTCGAACTTAAAGGTTGACCCGTCTTTCAGACCTTTGAAGAAGTCTGTGTAAGCCACTTCGTCAGACAGCCCTTAAATCTGAATTCTCATTAGATTGAACCGCCTGACGTAGGATCTAAGCCCTTCTCTATCTCCCTGCTGTATAGCACCCAATTCTAGACTTGTTTTCTTTGCAGGGATGTTCATAGAGAAGTTAGAAGCAAACAAGTACGCAAGCGTCTTGAAGCTGTTTATGCATCCGGCTGGCAGCTTGCCAAACCATCGTTGGGCAATGCCCTTCAATGTAGCAGGGAAGCATCGACACCAGGTGGCATCGTCCAACCCTTGTAGGACATGAGGTTCGTGTAGGCCATCAGGTGGTCTTTAGGGTTGGTTGTACCATCATAAGTATCTACCAACACATTTTTAACCTTGGCCGGCTAGGCCGCCTTGGTTATCTCCTTGGAGAACGCAGAAGGTTGTTCCCCAAGTTTGAGCAGACAAAGCTGCTAGTCCAAAGGTTGGACATTCTGTGCCGCCTGACCCCCAAAGAGAGCCGGCTGCATATATTGTTGCCCATGAGGCATGTGTGGCTGCTGAGGCACATACGGAGCCGAATGGATTATCTGAGGGCTAGAATGGACGGACAGGCCGCCGACTGACCCTCTTGGTTTGATTGCGAATACCTCATCGAGGTATTCTGAAAGCTGTCTGGGTAAGTCGACGTTGAGGCCGACTCACACAGTTGTTGACTTTTCTTTTGCTAGATTTAACATCCGGGCATCCGGAATAAGTCTTCTTTGATCCATCCGACTGAACTTGCCGGATGGCCTTCCTCATCCCTATTTCAGGAAATCGAATTTTGGACAGATCAACCATGGGCCAGTCCCTCTCCTTTGGTTTAGGATGAGGAGTAGGCACACGATCTTTGACATACTTCTTCTTCCCTATTTCAGGCTTCTTGGCCGACTGACCCCTGCTGGTGCCAACCGTTTTTTTTGTCGATTAGGTCCTTGATTTCCCCTTTAAAACTTGTCATGAATTTCATGAATTCGTCTCTAGTAACGGGGGCTACGCCTTTTGCCGCCTAGGGTTGTGCAGACAACTTTTCGGATGGCTGGCTTGGACTGGCTTGATCATCGCCCCGTTCCCTTGTTTGCTTAGGACGGGTGCGTCTGGTTCTGAGTGATCCGTCTTGGGCCACATGGGTCTCGACATCGAAGTCGTCACCACTGTCTAAGTCTATATAGACCTCAAAGTCGGCCGTAGGCCGTTTCTCATTAGGAGGTGGTATAGACTCATGTAAAGCCATCTTAGAAGTACTCTCCCCACAGACGGCGCCAAAAGTTTTGGGGTTTTCTGTGTCCCTCGGGAGAGTTACAACACCAAGACTGGATTCTGGGCGCTTGTACCTGCAAAACAACGGAGACTCCGGTTGGGTGGAGCTCCGCCTCCGACGATCAAGTTAGAACGTGTTCGAATAATGTAAAAAAGTGCGGAAAATAAAGTATCTTCTTGGATTCCGAGAGAATATCTGCAATTAATGATTGCTTTGTTTTTGTGAATATTTCAGAATGTGCTCCCAGGTGGGAACATCTCCCTATCTATAGGGTCTCAAAATGCGTGCCACCATCCTAGGTTACGTAAACCTAAGAATGGTGGGCTATCTCGGGAATTGGGTGCAGGAAGGCCGTCTTTTTTCCCAATGATTGGGCATGCCACGTGTCAAGAGAGGATTGGTTCCTTTGAACCTCTCTTAAGGTGACACGTGTCACCATTTGATTGATCCACGTGGCCTAGGGTATTTTTACCCAAAACA